AAAGTGTGAACTCTGCTAAAATCTCTTCACTTCTTTTATGATTCTTTGTTTCGCAATCACAAATTGCTTCCACAAGACCAAAGCGTCGGTAAAAATGAACCTCTGCTGTGCCAAACACTTGTAGCCGAAGCTTCGATGCATATTCTCCAAAATCGTAGTGACAGCTATTTGGTTGTTCAGGTTTGATAAATTATTGTGAGATTTGATCTGGATGACAACTTCCCGTATCAAGTTTTTCCATTAAATGGCGACCTTGAAGTTGATACTTTTTCTGCATGATATTAATGCCCGTGATATTTCCTTTCCCAAGTAACTTTCCTCTGCTTTAAAATAAAAAACTTGCATGAAGATGGTCCATTAGTAACTTGTTAGAAGAGTTTCACAATATTTTGTGCTTATTTCATTCTCTGGGTGTAAGAATATGTTCAGTATCAAACTACGGCAAGAAAGAGCTGCTTCATCATTCATTCTGGAAGCATTCGCAAAGTGTGCTAAGACCATTGCAGCTGTGACTTCTCAATCTGAAGAAGCAGCAGCTGTGCAGCAAAGCTCTCGCAGATGTCTATGTTCTGCACCATGTCAAGACGCGTAAGGCCAACGACTTGTCTCAGAAAGTCCATGGCTATTTCAACCGCTTGTACCCGGGATCGAAGCTTTTCAGTCATGGTCTGCAACTCCTCACCGTAGGTAAGCATGAGGATGAAGATCAACTTAAACACAGAGAGCTTAGTCTTCAGATTCAGCTCTGCATTCGTCACAGTGGTTCGGGCTAGTTTACGCAGAAGGCCACTGGCTACTCCAATTCGCCGGTTGATTTCTTCCTTAAATTTTCTATCGCCAGTAACTACGATTCCGAGGTACTTGAACTTCTCTACCTGCTCCACTGCCTCTCCGTTAATCTGAAGAGCGCAACAGACAGGAGAACGAGACAATACTAGGCTTTTCGTTTCAGATGCGTTTACACGCATGCCGGTCGCGTCGCACACAGCTGCGAACCTTTTCAGAGAGTGCTGTAGATCAGTTTCAGAAGTTGCCAATTAGACAGGTTCGTCCGCAAACAGCAACCTTCTCGTCTACGCATTTCCTACAAAATGCACTCATCGCCTTGGCTTCTCCTGACTTTTCTATCCATGCAAAACACAAACAGGAGAGAGGGTAGAACCCAGTCTTGCCGGAGATGAGACCAGTGCCAACGCCGCAAGGTTTCGACTTAACGTTATTTACTCTGACGCAGCACCTGCTCTCATCATTTTATAGTGATTCAATAGCCCTATCAACTGGCCATCGATACCGTATGTTCGCAGGAATGTCCACGACTGTTGCGTGGGATCCAGTCATAGGCTTTTTTCTACGTCCACAAAACACATGTACACCGGATGGGCGTACTCCCACGATTTCTCAGCAATCTGGTGCAGGGCAAATACAATGTCAGATGTTCTTCGGTCGGGCCGGAAGCCACATTGCTCATCTTCTCTCTTGGAGTCATTTACTTCGTGGCTCTTCTTTTTAGCATCTTTGCGTAGATTTATCCCGGTAGGCTCGATATGGTAATGCCCCGACAGTAAAGCATTTTCCGTGATCTCTCTTCTTGAACAGGGGTACTGCAGCTCGCGTTCTTCAGTCCGTTACTGCCTTTACCGTAGCCATTGCTGTTTGATAGACACGTGCAAACCGGCACATGTATTGTCTGCCTATTGCTTTGAGAATTTCAGGGCGGATTTCGTCATTTGCAACAGCCTTAACACTTTTCAAGCTTTTCAGACTTGTATGATTTCATCTGCAGAAATTGTAATATCCTTTCGCTGCTGCTCTGCGTCTTGCTATGGTTGCTCCGGGTTAAGGAGTTTCTCAGAGTATTCTCTCCACCGCCAAGGAATGTCCTCATCCTCGGTAAGGCGATATCCAGACTTGTTCTTGAAGACTCTTACACTACCTTTTTTTTCATCTCGGAGCCGGCGGATGGTCTGATAGAATATCTTGTTTGCCATCCAGAAATTCAACTCCAGCACCTCACAGAACTTCTCCCAGGAATCATCTTTGGTTTACGAGTATGCCATTTCAAGGCTGGCTCTTTTCTTGCAAGTCTTTTCTCGAATGCAGCCTTCTTCTCTTTAACTGCCAATTGTACGTCTAGTGTCTATCAGGAAGTTCTTTTCTGACCTCCAGGCGACAGGCCAACCCGTTTAAATCCGCAGCATTCGGCTGCAGCCTCGAGTATTCCGCACTTAAAGAGCTGCCACTCGTTTTCCGCTTCAGCGGTCATCACCGGTATCTGTTCAAAGCGTCGTGCGATCTTTGCTAATTTCGCTC